CGTAGTTTAGACTTGCCTCTTTTGATTTCTGTTTGAATTTTTGTAACCGGGCTACAAGACCCACTCCATGTACCAAGTTTTCCAATAAATGAAAAGTTCTCATTTTGCTTATACTCTTGCAATGTTTGCCGTAGTTTTCCATTTAGCCGCGCTATTCTTGCCCGTTGTATTACAAACTAATTGAACCAAGAAAATTATCTCGGTCATTGAAGACGAAAATTATCTAGAGTTGAGCAAACCATCAACTCTTCTAATGGGGGTCGAGTAAATCACTAACTCTTCTAGCCGAGATAAAACATTTCTTCTATATACCTAGAGCTGAGCAAATCACCAACTTCATCAGCCGGGATAAAACACCACGGCTAGCTTGAATCAAAACACCAACAAATTTAGCCGGGATAGAACATCTCAACTCAACCTTCAGGGTTAAGTAAATCGTCAAACCTTTTAGCCGGGGTAAATCATCTCAGCTAAAACCTCAGAGTTGAGCAAATCATCAACTCTTCTTGCCGGGATAAATCATCTCGACTAAAACCTCGGAGTTGAGCAAATCATCAACTCTTCTAGCCGAGGTAAGTCATCTCTGCTAAAACCTCAGTTGAGCAAATTATCAACTCTTCTTGCCGGGGTAAATCTTCTCGGCTAAAACCTCAGAGTTGAGCAAATCATAAACTCTTCTTGCCGGGGTAAATCATCTCGGCTAAAACCTCAGTTGAGCAAATCATCAACTCTTCTTGCCGGGGTAAATCATCTCGGCTAAAACCTCAGAGTTGGGCAAATCATCAACCCTTTTAACCGGGATAAAACACCACGGCTAGAACCTCAGAGTTGAGCAAATCATCAACCTTTTTAGCCGGGATAAATCATCTCGACTTTAGAAGCGGTTGCCCCTCATTCACTACGTTACTTCGAACACAACAAACTTCCTAAGCAGAAATAATTCATTTATATTATATTGGAAAATTGAGTATTACATTCAGAAATAAAGGGGAAACTTGTCCCTTCACAAAAAATTACACACAAAAGACAAAGACTACAAATAGTACAGCTTGAGGTTGGCCACATTCTATGGCCGGGGTATGCTTTTGCCATCCAAGTCCTCTAAGTGGTATGCCCCTTTGCCCGCCAGACCGATTATCCTATAAGGCCCTTTCCAGTTTGCCCCTAGCTTTCCTTCACCCGGCACCAGTGTGTTACCCATCACCTTCCTTAAAACCCAGTCCCCGACTTTAAACGTTCTGGGGTGCACTGTTTTGTTGTACTTCTTGGACAATTCTTGTTCATATGCGGCCACGTGGATTAATATTTTTTCTCGACGTTCGTCGGCTAGGTCCAATTCCAGGGTGATGGCTTCAGAGTTCAACTCGAGCTCAAAATTTTCGCTGCGGATGGTGGACATGCCGATCTCCAATGGAATGACCGCCTCCATGTCATATTCCAGGGAAAAGGGGTCTTCCCGGTCGAGCATCTCGGGTCATCCGATATGCCCAGAAGACACTAAGGAGTTCCTCTGCCTATTTTCCTTTGGCTTTCTCCAACCTTTTCTTCAACCCATCGAGAATGGTCTTGTTTGATGTTTCGGCTTGCCCGTTGGACTGCGGGTAGGTCGGGGTGGAATTATAGAATTTTATCTTCAACTTCTCACAAAATCCTCTGAACAATCATCCATCAAACTAGGTACCATTATCATAAATCAAAGCCTTGGGGACACCAAACCATGTTATTACGTTTTGCCAGACAAACCGCTTAACATCCTTTTCTTTGATAGTTGCTAAGGGCTCGACTTCTACCCACTTGGTAAAGTAATCTATGGCCGCAATGAAGAACTTCCTATTGCCTGGCACTGTTAGGAGTGGTCCCACTATGTCCAGCCCCTACATTGCAAAAGGCCAAGGGCTTGTGAGGGGAAAAAGTTCTCTGGCTGGCTAGTGAATTTGGTGAGCAAACTTTTGGCATTTTTCACATTTTCTAACATACTTATGTGCATCCGTTTGCATGCACGGCCATTAGTATCCTTGTGAAATAGCTCGATAAGCTAAAGATCTCCCTCCAATGTGACTTTCGTACATGCCTTCATGGATCTCATAAAGGAAAGGCTCTACACTGTTTGGGTGGACACACTTGAGGTACGGACCGGTGAATGACTTCTTATACAAAGCACTAGATGGAGAGAGCCAAAATCGCTCTGCCTTCACTCGGATTTTATGTGCTTCCTTTTTGTCGGCCAGAAGGGTCCTTTATTTAAAGAAAATGATGATAAGATCCATCCAAGAAGGGCCAAGCTTGGTGGAGAATACATCTGTCTACTCCAAGTCCTCAATGTTAGGTCTTAGGAGAAACTTAATTAGGAGAGGGCTGGGAGTTGATCTGTCGAACATGGAAGCTAGGCCGGCCAACTCATCCGCTTGGTCGTTTTCTTCACGGCCAATTTGTTAGACCCGTATTGCTTGGAATTCCTTGATATGTTCTCTCACTAGAGCTTGGTATTTGGTCATTCTGTCATTTTTGGCTTCGTACATTCCAGATACTTGGTTTCCAACGAGTTGGGAGTCGCTGTAGACCATTAGCTTGAATGCGCGCAATCGGAGTGCGCTTTTAAACCCGGCCAGCAGTGCTTTGTACTCGGCCTCATTGTTTGACGCTGGAAATTCGAGTGTGATAGAGTTTTCGATGGTTAGTCCGTCCGGCGAGATCAAAACTATGCCCAACCCGGCGCTGTGCCGGTTTGAGGTGTCATCTACAAAAAGTTTCCACATTTCACCAATAAAAAGCTTTCAACAATCTGAGGGATCCTGGGATGCTTGAAGTGTTATGGAATCTCGGCTGCTCGGCCATGTCTGCTACAAGCTCACCGCTGATGATTTCAACAGACACGCCTTCATCCCCTCTTCATGATGCTGCCCCGAACCCAACAGGTTGATCTATTATTCCCAAGTCTGTCGTCGCATTGCTGGGCTGAAGTACACTTTCGACTGAAGGTTTTGTGGATGGGCGCGCAAGTTCCGCGTCGCCAACATCACTCTGTTGTTCAATTTTCGTTGCGCTTACATTCGCCACCTCGGCTGTCGCGGTAAGCTCCACCAGGCATACCGGGTGAATTCCATGCGAGAATTTAGCAACAAAGTCGGCCAATGCTTGGGCTTTGATGGCGGTGCGGGGTTAAAACTTGACGTTAAATTGCCCTAGTTCGACTGCCCACTTCAGAATTCGGCCGAAGAAGTCTACCCGCTCAAATAAGACTTTCAGAGGGAATTCAGTCAACACCATGATTGTGTGAGCATGAGAGTAGTGCACCAATTTCCTGGAGGCCATCATTAACGTCAAAGTAAGTTTTTCCAGCGAGAAGTACCTCAACTTTGTCGGTCGCAGAGTTTTGCTCGCGTAAAAGATAGGGAGATGTTGGATGCCTTCTAATCAGACAAGAACCGCACTAACTGCATGTTGAGAAACAGCCAGATAGAGGTAGAGTTCTTCGTCGGGCTTGGGTGTCACCAAGAGTGGGGCGGAAGGCAAATATGCCTTGAGCTCGGCCAAGGCCCTGTCACATTATTCGTCCCATGAAAACTTGGACTTCAAGGCTCGAAAGAAAATAGGGCAACGATCTGAAGACCGGCTTATGAATCGATTAAACGCGGCTGCCATACCGGCAAGATGTTACACGTCCTTTGCCGAGTTGGGCTGCTTTAATTCTTGTATGGCTTTGATTTGTGAGGGATCTGCTTCGATACCTCGATTGGTGACTAAGAAGCCCAGGAATTTCCCTGACCCCACACTGAAAGCACACTTTGACGCATTTAAACGAAGCTTGTGTTGTTTAAGAATAACGAACATCTCGGCTAGGTCGGACAAGTGGTCAGCCTACTGCTTGCCTTTGACCACCATGTCATCGATGTAAGCCTCCATTGTGCGGCCTAGCAAAGGGGCGAACATCACCATCCTCTAGAAAGTTGCCCCGGCGTTCTTCAAACCAAAAGGCATGACTCTATAGCAGAACAATCTCCTCGGGATCGTGAAAGAGGTTATCTCGCGATCGGGTGCATACCTGGCGATTTGGTGATAGCCGCAATAAGCAACTGAGAAATTGAGCCGGTTATGTCTGGTTGTACGATCCACTATCTGGTCTATTCTAGGTAAAGAAAAGCTGTCTTTAAGGCAAGCTCGGTCAACCGTCTTGTAATCAATGCAAACTCGCCACTTCCCATTCTTCTTGGGTACTACAACCGTGTTCAAAACCCATTGAGGGTAGTGCACTACCCAGATTGTGCTAGCTTCAAGCAAGTTTTTGACTTCCTTCGCGACTACCTCGGCGTGATGAAGGACTGATCTCCTCGTTCTTTGAATGACAGGACGCGCATTCGAAAAGACATTGAGTTGGTGGCAAATAAAGCTTGGATTAATGCCAGGCATGTCGTATGGCGTCCATGTAAAGACTTCGATATTCGTCATCAAGAACTCCACCATCTCGGTCCTTTCTTGGGCGGTCAGGCTAGATCCCAGCAGAAAGAACTTGTCAGGTTTTTCTATGTCGATCCGCACGTCCACCAACTCTTCAACAGCCTTTTCCTCGGCCCTAGTACCCACGTCATCCAGGACACTTTGGTCTTCCGGACCTTCGATCATTTGCACGAAGCCTTTAGCTACTCAGCTCCCATTCACTGCTACAAAACACTACTTCGCCTTGACTTGATCGCCCCAAATCTCCTCAACTTCCCCCATAGCCAAGGGAAACCTCATGACTTGGTGGTAGGTTTATGCTACCGCCTGCATGGCGTGAAGCCATCATCTACCAAGGATTAGATTGTATGTGGATGACACCTTTAATACCCAGAACTCCACCTGCTTGACCACGGATCCGACTTTGACCGGTAGGATTATCTTTTCCATTGGCCATTCCGTTGTGAGTTAAAACCAACCAGTGGCGAAGTTGCCAGAGCCAAGTCTGTATCTCAGAGTTTGAGCTGCTTAAAGGCGTCGTAATACATGATCTTGACCGAGCTGCCTTAGTAGATTAGGATACGCATAACATCGAAGTCCTTGACGTGGAGGGTGACCACCAGGGCATTATTGTGCGGCGTTTGAATGTGCTCAAGATCCCCACCTGAGAAGCTAATCACATTTTTCTCCTCGGACTTGCCTCTTTTGACCGTGGGCTGGACTGACAAAACTTCCTTTATATGTTCGGCCTTTTTTATCATCCCTCGGAGCTCGCATACCTGCATCGGCTCTTCTATACCGTGGATCACATTGACCACTCCTTGGAGGGGTGCTTCTAGGTCATCCGAACCACTTGGCTCAGCCGGTACATAGTGCGTGGCCCTGACACCCCCATCGATGTAACAGTCCAAGTGACCGGTTATGACTAACTCCTCCAAGTGTTGCTTTAAGGGCAAACAGTTCTCCGTCTGGTGCCCTCGCTCCCTATGAAATGTGCAGCGGTTCCGCGGATTGAAGCCCTTTTGTGCATCACCTAACTTAGCGGGAAACTGTACGTAAACCTCGTCGCGGATTTCACTAAGTATGCGGTAGATTGGAATTTTAAAAACCGTGGTGATGCCTGTCCAAGCGTTCAACTTTCTGTTTGTATCTGCTGCATCATCACAGGAATATTCTGCTTGGTCATTGTGGCGACCTTTACCCCGGTTCCTACGATTCGGACCACGGTTAGATTCTTTTGCGCAGTCACTTGGACGGTTTGTCTCCTGTCCGACCGCGTGTACTTTTCCAGCCACCTTTTTGTCCGTTGTCACTGGATTTGTCTTCACGGTGGACGCCGCCATATCATCCTCTACTCGGATGTACTCATTGATGCGTTGCATCAGCTGCCCCATGGAAATCGGTTAGTTTATCATGAGCAAGTCCCTCAGCCTATGTCTGACCAGGAAACCGCGCTTGTATTGGGTGATTGCCAGGTTGGTCGGGCAATCTAGGATCTCGTTGAAGGTTTCCCAATACCTAGCGTTGTATGCTTTGAGGGAGTCACTCGACTCCATCTTGACGCTCAGAAGGTGGTCCACTTCCTTTGGCGTTTTGGTGTTGGTTTTGAATTGAGTCACGAATGCTTTCGCCAACTGCTACCACCTTTCGATGCTTTCCTCCGGAAGCCTCTCAAATCATTTCAGGCCCAACTCGCCCAAACTCGATGGGAAAATAAGGCACATGAGAGCATCATTACACCTTTGTCCAGCCATAACCTGCCGGAAGTGGCTTACATGCATGTACGAATCGGTTTTCCTGTCGTAAAGCGTAAACTTGGGCTGGTGAAAGTCCGCTGGGAGCGGTGTGGTCTCTATCTCAAGAGAGAAGGGGGTGGCGCTCAGCCTCACCAAGTCTTTGTCCAAAAGGACACGCACGGCTGAACGAGGTAGCGGCATTATGACTTCCTCACTGGAGTGACCTCCGTAGAATAACTGCTGGAGCACCGGCACCCTTTAAACCTCCCGTCGGCGAGCTCGTTCCTTCAAGACGTCCCTCAGGTCCTCCGAATGAACGGAGTAGGAATACCCCGATGTCTTCGGCAAACCTGAGGAATGGTAGCTATTATATTGCGCGCTAGACTTCTCAGCAGGTGGGTCTGAGTCTCTAACCCTATAACTTCTGGTGATGGAAAGGAAGGGCGTGCGCCGCTGGTTCTAGCTGCATGAGAGGCGGGGTTGGGTGCGTTCACTGTGGTCACCTACTCCAGCAACACCCTTCCCTTTAACTTGTCGTTTGAGAGTTTCCATTTCTGCCGCCATTCTCTGAATGACGGCGTCTTGGTCCCTTAACTTGTGCTCCAGGCATTAAGCGTGTGACTCTCTTCACCGCTGGTGTCCGTCTGGACTCCGCGAGTGACCGAAGCTCCTGGTGCTCTTATCTCATGCATCTCTAGGAAGTCCTCCTAGAGAAGTCTCCAGGCCCGCCATGTTCGAAACGGTGGGAAGTCCGTCTCTCCGTCGGACTGACTCTGGGGAATACCATCGATGGCAGACAATGGTACTTCGTCGTTGTTTTCCATAGAGGGCGATCCGATGAGCTTGAAGGGCAAGGTTGTGTCTGCTTAAACTTTCCACAGATGGCGCCAATTGTACGGGAAGCAAATATTCGACACCACCCATACTCCTCGCGTCCAAGCTGCACATTCCTCCGATCGTCCTGCGAACATAATGAAGGTGAGCTACCCGACGATGTGTTGCCAGAAAACCCCTCCGACAGTCAAGTTAGCACATACTTAAAGAGAGAGAGAGAGAGAGAAAAGAAGACAATGTGCTAGAGTTTCTCTCACCAACAGATGTTCCATCCTCAGCATGGGGGGCGCAGTCATGCTTATATATCTTCTGTGCGTATGCCTGCATCCATTTGCCTTCTGACGCATGGGCCTGCTCTCCTATCCCGCTCTCCCACATGTCAGTGCAAATTCAGCAAACCACCACCTAATCAAACTGCCAAACGGCATTGGCGCGAACGAATAGCCCAGCGGCATTACCCCAGCCTCATACGACCGTATTACTTTCCGAGACATACAGTGCTCCTAGCCGAGCTCTGTTATGACTGAGCTTAGTAGCCCTCCGTTATGACCGAGCTCCTACTAGGTTGGGCCGGTCTGCGGAGGATCTTACTCGCCGACCTAACTCGCCGACCTAAACGAGCGAACAATATGAACCGATCTGCAGAGAATCATCTCGGCCAAATCGGGTCTGGACTTCAGCCAAGCAAACTTCCCCAGGAACGGCCCAGCCCAGCTCGGCCCAAACACGCTCGGACTAATCTCTGCCCGACCACTACCACAGCCCAAAGCCATATTATGAAATCTCGCTCTCAGTTAGCTAAGTTATTTATTTATTTATAACTTAGCCATTTATTTATTTATAACTTAGCCATTTATTTTTTCGAATAGATGTTCAAAATGTGGTAGTTAGTGTGTGTTTAACAAAGGCTGGTTTTTGCGACCACAAAAGGTAACGAGGAGATAGTAGTGTCGGCATCAATGGAGTTTGAGCAATGACAACAAGGACAATGTTGTCGATAGGTTTGGTGTTAAGTTTGATGTAAATCCTGTTTATTCAAATCATATTTGTGATAAGATGGGTAGTTTTTCAAAATTGTGGTTAATTTTTTTTTTTATTTTTTTGGGAGTTTTTAGATAGTTTGTGTAGGGTTTTTTTTATTTGGACCAATGGGCTTTATTGTGTGTATATATATATATTGGATAAATTACACTGATAATCTTTATATTTTATCTCGTGTTGTTTTGATATTTACATTTTCAATTGGTTCAATTGATCCTTAATTTTAAAATTGATATCGATTTAATCTAATTGATGATGTCGTTAATGTTTTTAACAAATAATCATTGAGTGATTAAGTTAGTTGAGGTTAATTCAACGTGAAAGTTCCTTAAACTGCAAAATGAGAAAATATCATTCTATCCTCCAAATTATTGTTTAAAAATTAATTTAACTCTTATTCTTTTAAAAGTATCAATTTTACATTTAAATATTTTGATTTTGCATCAATTTTATTCTACCATCAATTACCGTCTATAATCAAATAGAAATTTTTGATGTGGTATTCAATATCATTTGAAATTTTATTTTATCTCAAAATTATTTTTAATATCAATTAATTTTTTGAATAAAATGAAACTTGAAGGTCTGATTAATATTTTAGAGATAATTGGAGTAAATGTAAAATGAAATTTTAAATGAAAATGTGAATAAAATAAAACCCTCACGTGGGCTTAATGGCCCAGTAAAGTTATGAAGTTTCAGTTCCGGAAAAGCCCAAAAAATGTCGGATATTCCTGATAAAACGTCGTCGTTAGGTTGGCTTCAGTGGGTTGGTCCTCATTTTCGTAGTTGCGATTTTGCGATCGATATCGATCTTCATCGTCATCATCACCAGTCAAAATTAGGGCAAAAATCTTGAGCTTTCTCGTCGAAGAAGGAAAGATGGTGAAAGTGGCGACTTACTTCGCGATGACACTCGGCGCCTTCGTCTTCTGGCAGTCCATGGACAAGATCCACGTCTGGATCGCTCTCCACCAGGACGAAAAGGTTCTCCCTCTCTCTCTCTCTCTCTGTATATATATGTAACACGATGAAGAGGATTCAATCAGATTTAAATTGCAGTGGATTGGCTCAATTTGATCCCCACATGGTTGGATCTATTAATTGTTTTAACGATTGAATGTTCCAAAAGAGATTCCACAATCTGGTTCGAAATTTAGATACAATTATAAGATTGCACAACTTGTTATAATTTTATCTACATTGCTGTTTCGCTCAATTTTTCACTATTGGAAGATATAGCTGTGATTTGAGCTCTACATGCTTGTTTTAGCTGGTTCAGTTGGTGGAATTTCGGTACTGATTGTTAAAGGCAAATGCAAGCAAGTGTCCCTAGGCATTGTTTAATGTTGGGATTGGGCTTGAAAAGTGTTTTGGAAATAGGTGATTTTGTGCTTGTTTCTCATCACTTTGGGCAGTTCATACTGCCAAAAATTTGGTGTATATGATGAACGTTTTATTAGGATGTAAAAATGTAAAAATAGATTAATTTAAGACTTTGCGGTAGGGTGATGAGTGGGTGCTTGATTTGAATGTTTGCAGCAAGAAAGAATGGAGAAGGAAGCGGAGATAAGGAGGGTGAGAGCGGAACTGTTGCGACAACAGGCAGAGCAAAAGGATTCTCTTGCATAAGCATTGTGTCTTGATGCGGTTGGCCTTTTACTGTGAACTTTCTATTTTTGCCATTTTTGCTTGAATTATTCTGGTCAGAGTTGACAGAGTTCTCATAAAATACGACTCCTGTATTAAACTGATGAATTTGCATTGTTATGGACAAGAATTTGCTCTGTTCTGCCTTTTTAAGCTACTTTTTCTTTGTGGGGTGTGAATGGAATATGCCTTTGCTTGCTATAAAACTTATGCATCTTGGATGATTTCTCTCTCTCTCTCTCTCTCTCTCTCATTGGAGTAGTTTTTAATTACAGCACAGTGGCAACCCCTAATTGCTGCCGGTAGCTAATAATAGGTCTCAGTTTAAAAATTACAGTACAGTGGCAACCCCTAATTGCTGCCGGTAGCTAATAATAGGTCTCAGTTTAAAATGGGAAATGTACCTTTATTTTGAACTTATCATGGTTAATGGTGAGGTTGGTTTTACGTCGTCTAGCTTTCTTAGTAATTTAAGTAGGCAGTTCATTATTATCTCCAAAACAAAAAGTAGGCAGTTCTTGGTGTTTGGTGTCAAGTAAGTCTCTCAGCTTGATTAAGGAATAGGAAGCTCTATGTGTTATTACTTATCAATATAGGACATGTAAAGCATATTGATCTTTTGTTGGTTTCATGGCTTTACTAGTGTGCATTCAGTATAAAATTTGTTATACCTTCTGACACAAATAGAAGCAACCTGCAGTTATATATCAAATCAATAAAACTGGCTGTCGTATAAGGATATTTTGGGGATTAAATGAGCTTGTGAATATTTTTTCACCCTTCAAGTGTGTGATTCCCCCCACCCAAAAAAGAAAAAAAAACGTATATCTTTGTCTATGGGAGAGCAGAAAATAAACCCCACTTTAACAGTTGTTTAGTATATCAAGCATAGAGGGGGTTGCCGGAGGACTGGAGGAGGTCACTGGCCAGGGAAGCTAGAGGAGTGGGAAAGTAGCCGCAGAGGAGGAATGACTTAAGTTTTCCAATACTACAGTTCAGGGTGCTGAAAGAAGTATATGATGGATTAACCATATATTTTGTGGATGAGATTTCTGTGATCACTGATGATGCCATTTCTCTTGTTCTAGGCAGAAACTTTTAACTAAAGAAACCGTTAGTTTTTAGGTCACATTTTGATGTTAAAAGTCAATATCTGTAATAAAATGCTACTGTTTATCTATTCTTTTACAGAGTTGGACATAGAAAACCTCATAGGGAGGTTTTATTTCATATCACTATATATGCTTCTTAAAGGCATCATTGGCTGCCTGATGAGATGTGACATATAGAAACCTGCTAAAAATGGGGTTAAAGGAAAGGGTGATGATTGAGGGTTGCATAATTCTTGCTGAACCCTTGTAATTTACCATCAATACGTTGTGATTTTCTTTTCCTTATAGGTGCCATCCTGAACTGCTTTGGTTTAGGTGTGCACGGCTTTAAAATGTGTTATTACTAGAAAGGGATGTGAACTTATTTAGATAATACAGAAACATTTCTTACCTAATTGATGTGGGATGGGATGGTGAGGTGGCTTGTAGAGAGCCTCCCGACTTCAAAATACGTCGTTATAAGAGTTATGTCGAAGACCTTAAATAATTTATCAAATTTTTTATCAAACTTCTGGTGTGGGATCCACAAATGTAGGTTTGTGTGGGTCTCACACTCATGTGAAGGTTTGATAAAAAATTTAATAGATTATTTGAAATTTATAGTATTTTCCTTATTATAAAGGGATGTGTTCTAACTTATATGGTCCAAAAAAAAATTCCTATCCAAACGATACAAGCTCTCAACTTTCAGACACATTATTAGAAAGGGATGTAAAGTCACATATATAATTGAAAAACTTTTCTTAATGAGGGCATTGCAGTTCTACTGTGAGTACCCTCTTTTGCAAATATGTTAAATTTCATATTTATGATTGAATGAAGAGTACATTTTCTGTTTTTTTTTTTTTTTTTTTTTTGGGGGGGGGGTTGTTTTTATTTTTTGATCCATGTCTATTTGTATTTCAAAATGAACTTGTTGAAAACTGTTCACTTGGTGCAAGAGAAATTAAAATAAACGATTTAAATTATCGAAATGAAACCTATCATATAAGTTCTACAAGCCTAATTTGACAGAATTAAAGACGTCTCTGTATAAAAAAGAAGCCAAACCCTTGATTAATCTTGTGTGACTGACTGTTTTTTAAGGGTTTTTTTTTTTTTTTTTTTTATCACCAAAAAATCTAAATAAATAAATAAAGATTGTTAAAAAATATTTGCCAAAACATGAAATATATCATAATCATACACGCAATTCTTGTTATGTTGAAGCAAGCTTTTAAAAAAGTGGTTATAATTATTAGATGAACAGCAGTTTTGAAGCACTTTTTCATCATACACTTGCAAAGAAATCGTGTCTCTATAATAACATAATAACAAACTCTTCACCTTTGCTAAAAATAGCAAAATGCTCTCTAAAAAGACCCCTAAAAAGAAAACCCCCTTTTCCCCTTATTTTCACGCTAAAAGCTATGAAGAATTGCTAAGACCTTGTACCAACCGGTGCCATACTAGTATTTTTAAATGGATTTGGATTCTCTTCGTTACAAATAATTATTTTATCTTTTAAAATTTTCATATTGGTGCCGTATCCAATCAATACTAAGGTCATGTTTGTTTGGATGAACATGAGCTTGGGATTGGACTAATAGTCCAATAAAATTATTAATCCGATGTTTGGTTAAACAATTGAAGTACGGACTAATTATTTTAAACTTGACTATTAGTTAAGATAGGATACATAATCCA